AGCTCTGACCAATGATGCCCAGCTCTTCTTGAAGAGTCTGAGCTGGAAGGCTGCACAAAAACACAGCCAATCTTCTTCCTTATCCTTACCATTTTTATTTTCTACTATTCTTGCTTTGTTTTAAACCTGACCCATCCTTGATCCATCCAATATGGAACTGTAGAGCAAATTAATCCTTTTCTCTTCACAACAGTCCTCCATATATCTGATACACATTCATATCAGTAATACATAGATATGTATGTTATTTCCACTTCTTCCACTTCCCCCCTTCAAACTAAATCCCTGTTGATTTTTTTTAAGTTCCTTCTTAAGTCATGTTTTATAGACATACGATCATTCAGATTGTTCTCTTCTGCTCTCTTCATGGGCTACAAATTTACTGAAGTCAGATAGACCATGGCTACTGAGTTTTCCTAGGGCCATGTAAATCAGGATGTTTCACAAAGAGTCTGTGCTTCTTTTTTTGTATTGTTTCATGTGGTTTGACTTTCTCGCTTTTGCTCTCTGACATTGTCCCCTTTGTACAGATTGTGATTCACATAACAACAGAACTTTTTCTTCTTTTTTTTTTTTTTTGGTCACATATTTGAAGCTTTTTTCACTGCAGAACACCCAGTAGTTCCTCCTTTCCTGTTTGTGTAGCTGATCATATCTGCCTCCGCCCAGTAGCATGCACTTATCCCTGTTGAATAGAACCCTCCTTTTTCCAGACCAAATCACTAGTGTGCGAAAATCATTCTAAATCCTACATCTGTCCTCCAGCATGCTGAAGCCTCCCAGTTTGGTATAATCTCCAGTTATGTAAACATGTTTTCTGAACCATCGCTGAGTTCATTACCATCCTTCTGACAACGAGGCACTTGTACCACCTTCCTAAATAACTTCATCTACTTTATTTTCACTGTTTACTGAAAGTATCATATGAAACCATGTCAAAAAATCTTACTAAAGGGACATCCAACATGACCTTCAGTGTTTCTCCTCCACTGATGATTCCTCTTACTTTGTTGCAGGAGAGATTAGATTTGACATTTTTGTTCTTGACAAAGCTGTGTTGGCTGTTACTTGTTGTGTTACAACTGCTTAAGCATAGCTTGTTTAGTTGCTCCAGTATCTTTAAATAGATTGGTATATATAATTTCCTATTTCCATCTTTCCTTTCAACAATACTGTTTGTTCCTTTCTGTCCTGTAATATTCCCTCACTGTGTGTAATCTACAATAACCACTAGTAAGCGAGATTTTATTATCCAGTCCTTTAAATCCAGCTGACAGGAAAGCAGCAAATTTTGTTTGAATAATTTCTCACTTGGTCTTTTTATAGTATAATATGAAATCTGCTTGTTTTCCCCATTATCAATGATGCCTAATATATACATATATAAAAATAAAAATTAGATGCAAAAATATTGAGAAATTTGGCTTTCTCAGTGTTGTCTGCTAAAAACTTTTCAGTTCTGCTTGATACTGGCATAATCACTTGCCTCATTTTTTCTGGCAATGTACTTGAAATTATTTCATGTCAGCCCAAATATCCCAAAATTACCAGTTGTGTTTCATTTCCGGCTGCCTTTTCTGACTTTATTCCTGTATGATTAGGCTACACTTTTGTAACTCTCCCAAGTAACCCAACCCAGCTTCTTTCCTGGATGCTTCATTCCTATTTGAGGTTCAGAAAGAGCTTGTGACAGCCAGAATGATCTTTTACTCTGCCCTTACCTCTTCTGCACAGAGAGTTCACTTACTTATAGTCCTAATGTTATTTCTTTGAGGAAGTGCCAGTTCTCTCAAACATTTTTTTTGCCTGCATCAACCTCCCAGAACATCATATTGACACATTGTATGAGTTCATTGAAGCCTACTTCCATGAAATGTCTCGCTTTTGTTTTGATGTTGTTACTTCTTTCTAAAATCACAGAATCTCCCTCCAAAAACCTGTGAAGCCATACATATATGTATACATATACACATATATTTATACATACATACTTATATATACATGCATTCACACGTGTCTATCTCTCTCTTTGTGAAGAACATTGAGAACTTACAAAATGCCTAGTTTTTCTGACCCAAATATTTCAGTTTAATATCTACAAAAGAAAAATGAAAAATGATGAGTGAGCCATCAGAAAACAAGCTCATAATTCTGCTGGAAAATGGAAGCACTCAGGATTTCTTATTCCTTTTCTAATAATCCTGCAAAGAAATTTTTTGCTTTACTTCAGCTGTAGCTTGTAAGGTAAGGACAAACGTGAAGGCATCATAGATCCGTTCGACTCCTGGATTACAAGAGACAAAAGTTCTCTTCTGCTCTTTTTGCTGGTGATGTATCTGTGATCTTGCAGACATTTATTCTTACATCAATTGTTTATTCTGTTTCATGGCATCTGGGGTCTAAGATGCAGGATTATTGTTAGCTGGGCTTCCTGATTTCAGCCTCCTGGGGCAAGCAAGAATAGTAGAAAATAAAAATGGTAAGGATAGGGAAGAAGATTGGCTGTGTTTTTGTGCAGCCTTCCAGCTCAGACTCTTCAAGAAGAGTTGGGCACCACTGGTCAGAGCTGGCACAGGCAGAGTGGCCCTCAGGCAGCAGGTGGACTCCGGTACAGGACTGCACCAGTTCATCTGACAGGCTCTGCAGCAACAGAGTGGTGTCCCACTGGCTCACAGGGAACAGATTCCTCAGACACTATACCTAGCACTGGCGTGGGCTTAAAGAATAACTTTAAAATATGTTTTCGTTTCCTCTGTGTTTCACAGGGACTTATTCTGTGACACTTGGAACATTTCTGTATCCATCTCTATGATGAACATAATCTCTCCTTTTTCTGCAGAAGTTCCATATGACAGAAAGGGGAAAATATTTCAAATTAAGCAGCATTCATCTGCATTGGTGATGAGCATAACACACTTCACTATAAAGATTTTCTGTAAGCATATTTCACTATTTCTCTTGTGTATTTTAATTCACTTCAATTAGCATAGTTTTGCTTGTTTCTCTCATGTTGTCAAAATATTAAATATTTATAATTACAGCAAGGGCTCATTTTCCTTGTTTCTAAAGAACCATTTACTGCTTATGGGAGTGCTTAACATAAATTGGGCTGTATGAATTCCACTTTCATGTAGAAGAGTTAGAGGGGGTTTGGTTATATATTTGAGCTTTCTTTTTCGTGGGTTTGGTTAGGTTTTTTGTTCATTAAAAGAACTCTTAGAATTGCATTCTCATGACCTTAGATTAATTTAGAACTTAAAATTTCACTTTTCAAGTCATGTTAAATAGTGAAGTTGAAACTTGGGCACAAAATCCCCTTAAGGCTGGTAGTATTTAAGTTATGATTTTTTTACCAGTTATGCCTACATACCACTTGGGGTCTGAATTATAATACCCGAAGCTTACACAATGGGAATACCCCCTCCTAAAAATCTAAGGAGGCACTTCTTGGCTATTATACAGTTTTTATAAGCGTGGATCTCTGCAAAATAATTGTGTAAAATTTCCCAGGTGAATATGCACCAATTTTAACGCGCATTATACACGCTGATTATATACAATTGTACATGTACATTGCGATCCTTGTGCACTATAGCGCGGGGCACTGTCCCGGTCCGTGCACACGGACGGTGCCGGCGGCACTGCAGCGCCTGACACCGGCTGCCTCGGGTTTCCCCGCAGAAACCCCTCCCGTCGATTCCTCGCACACCGAAGTCCCGCACACAAACACCTGCCAGGGGGTGATTTTCTCCCCTCACAAGGCGGTCCTGCTCCTCGGGCGCAGGAGCCCGCGC